ACACACACACACACACACACACACACACACACACACACACACACACATTCTCTGGCCTGGTCTGGGTTCTGAACAGTGTTAGAGAAACAACTCAAAAACAGCATCCGTTTGTGTGTTCTGCTCTGGCCCAGGGGCTGTATTTTCTAACTCAAGTCTCTGCCATCCTTCAGAAGTTGGCTCAGGGGCAGAGAACAGGTGTGTCAGTGAAGTAAGACTGGAAGTTTTCATCCATCAGAATGTTCATCTTGGGGGGTTCACTTGACCTGTAGAGAAGATGGCTGCCTGATTCCAGGTCTCCTAAATCCCCACACACTAATCCTCGTCAATTAAGGGCTCCCAGGTATCTAGACAATAACTTTCTGTCCAAAATGTATTAACTAAACAAGGGGGACCCTTTTTGTTGTGATTTTATGGATCCTGCTGGGACAAATAGAAACACCACATGAGCCAAGCCTGAGTCTCCAAAGAAAGAAGGCAGAGGAAACGAAGCAGTCGCTCTCACACAACTCGGCAGCTCTGAGGGACTTTCGAACTACCATATTTGATCTTTTATCTCAAGATATACATGAGCTCTCTAAAGATCCAGAAGAAGTGAAAGCTCGTTTCACCTATTTAGAAAATGAACTATGAAAAACTGCCATAGAACTGAAGAAAGTTAAAACAGAGAATGTTTCCTTAAGGCAAAGACTAACCAGTCCTGAGGAGAAACAAGAAGATCTTGAAAACCGATCATGCAGGAATAATTTGTGGTTACTGGGCATCTCTGGAGGGCTGGGAGGAAAAACATGATTAGCTTTCTCCAGAACACACTCTCTGAGGTAATGGGATTGGGTCCCATTTTGCCTCCCCTAGAGATTGGAAGTGCCCATCAAGTGGTAGGGGCCAGAAGGAGAGAGAACAATAATAACTCCAGACCCATCGTCTTTAAATTGCTAAGAGTTAATGACAAAGTTAAGCTGATGTCTGCTGCTAGGCAAAAAGGATTTTTTTTATAAGGATTTTAAATTTTCTTTGTATCCAGACTTCTCTGCAAATTTAACCAAGAAGACAGCAGTATTTAATGGAATCAAATGCGCTCTCACGGGGTCAGATATTAAATACAACCTCAAATAGACTGATATCTTCATAACGAAATACTTCAATATCCCATTGGATTCTTGGCAAACACTACGGGATTCAAAACTATGTCTTGCTAACAGCATGATCTCGGCACATGTAGGTATTTTGGTAAATATAGGTATATTTCTGGCGGATTCTTAATTTGTATTGTGTATGGGGGAAGGGAGGATCGGTGCAGGCATACACTGCCTAGAATCTGGACATGCCCATATTGGAAATCTGGGATGTTACAGGGATGGAGGATTGTATGGGGTGTTGTGTGTTTGTTTTATGGAGAGGCACTTGGAGGCTGTCAGTCTATTGGGCATCAATCAGCAGCTGAACAATCACTGATTTTTCATGAGTTCTATTTAAAGTTTTGTTCCTGGAATGCACAGTGGCTTAATGAACTCTCCAAGAGAAGCAAAACTTTGAGGCACTTAAAATCAAATGGATGTCTCATAGTTTTCCTTCAGGAGACCCATTTAAGGAATGAAGATGCAGACAGAATTTAAAAACTGAGTGGGAAGATGAATATCACTCCTTTTTCAACTCCAGATGAAGGGAAGTAGTGATATTAATCCACAAGAACCTAATTTTTCAACGTATTCTGTCATGAGTGGCTCCAGAGGGCAGATACATCATAATTGAAGGCATTTTCAATGCTAAGAGATTAATTTTGGGGAGTGTATGTAATCCTATTGGTGAGAATGCACCCTTTATCGCAGAAAAAACTGACATTATTTCCAACAGAACTGATGTCCCAGTGGTACCAGGAGGAGATTGGAATGGTGTCATGGATGATATTGTAGACAAATCTCCGTATTCTAAGCAAAAATCTCAGACCTTTGCAAACTATCCATTATCCCTGCTGAAAGATAGTGGACTAATGGATGTTTGGAGACTGAAGCATCCTACAAAGGATAACTACACATTTCTCTATGGTTCATACCTCCTATTCCAGATTAGATTTTTTTTTATGATATCTAAGGTACTAGCTTGTAGAGGTGTAAGTCAGTAATATTATCATCTCTGATCATGCTCCAATTTCTGTTCATATAGATATTGGTTATAGTGCTACAAGATCCTCAAGATGGAAGTTAAACACACATCTGCTTAGAGACCCTAAATTTCTTTAGATGATTGAAACCTCCATTACAAACTTGTTAAAAGAAAATACAAATACTGTCTCCTCTACAACAACTTTATGGGATGTACTGTAAAAGAAATATGGGAGGAGCTAAACATCTCCATTTCCTCTGACAGGTGGGATCATATCTGGCACAATATATGAGAGCATCCAGTTCTCTTTTTTTGCATTTCTTTCAGAACAAAATTGTAATTAGCTATTATTGGACTCTGGGGCAACTGCATAAAGCTGTACTCATCCTGCATAGTAACTGCTGGAGATGTGACATCACCTGTGCAAACCTGTCTCATACATTCCTTGAATGTCAAAGTATATCCACATGTTGGAGGAAAGTGTGTGGTGC